CTGGTGACTCCTCTTTTTCTTTCCTTTCTGGGTTGCTTTTTTGTCTTCCCATGTTTTGCTGTAATGTTTTAATTGTAGCTCTGATTGCTTTGTTACCCAGTTTCTTTAGGGTGTGGTGCTGCTGGTGTGACCTCTCAGGTCTCCTGGGCTTGGTAGTCCAGTGTAGCTCCCTACTTGGGCTATTTGAGTTCTCTTGATGTAGGCCTGTGAGCTGGAAAGGCGCAACTGAGGTGTTTGGAAGTCAGCAGCTGTGGAGGGGGTGTTCCAATTTTTGCTGTCTTATGCCCTTGATTGAAATCACACGTGACCCGCAGGGACTCACAGTGGCACCCAGGAACCATCTATTGGGGCGGTGGGGCTCAGAAAGCCTGTGTTCTGGCAAAGTGTGACTGTGGTGTCCAGAGTTCTGTCGCTGTGGGGTGGGTAGACTCAGCTTTTGCTGCTGCCTCCGTGGTTGGATACACGCAATTCCAGCAGCAGCTCACAGAGGCACCTGTGGTGTGTTTGCCAGCAGGGTGTACTGACACACTCTGAAGGGCCCTGGCACTGAAACCACTGGATTGCAGTGTCTGTGGGCAGGCATCCCAGAAGAGGGAATTCTGCTTTTCTACAGCCCAGCAGTGCACCCCTGTTTGTTTAAGTGCATGACCAGCAGGGCTCGCAGCGGGGCCCCAGGGCTGCCTGTGGAGCAGTGGTCTTGGGAAACCTGCACGCTGGAAAAGCCTGCACCTGTAGTGTCCAGAGTTCTGCAGCTGTGGGGTGGGGAAACTCAGATTTTGCTGGTGCACTTGTGGTGGATAGGCTCGCGTTCTGCATAGCGGCACACAGCACCCACAGTGAGTTTGCTAGCGCAGGCACACTGAAGCACTCTGAAGGGCCCTGGCACGCTTTGGGCAGGTATCCAGGATGGGTGAATTCCGAATTTCTACTGCCCGGGGGAGTGCGTCCCTATTAGTCCAAGATCGGACCCAGCAGAGGCTCACCACGGCGTCCCCAAAGTGCCCTGTGGACAGATGGGCTGAGGGGGAGTGAGCAACTGTGGCGGTGCAGTTCGCAGGTGCAGTTCCCGGGCGCTGAGCTCTGACGCACTCTGTGGGGCCCTGGCGCTGAGGGGCCCTGGCGCTTAAGTCGCAGCTGGGTGTGTGGGGGCAGTTATTCAGGCAGAGGGAACTCAGAATTTCTACTGGGGGGCAGTAAGCCTGTGTCTGTACAAAATCACACCCAGCTTAGTCTCCCGGTGACTCCTAAGGGGAGTCTATGGAGTGGTGTGCCTCGGAGACCTGTGCACTGGAGATGCGCGTCAGCGCAGGCAATGTCTGAGGTCTGCTGCTGGGGAGGGGGAGACTGCACTTACTGCTGCTGGCAGCACGTTGCTCTTTTGGCACAGAGTCCCAGAGTCTGGGGGTGTGGCTGCAGGATTTTTGCTGGAGTGGCTGCCAGGTCACTGGCAGTGTCCAAGGCCTGTCTGGGTGATGGTGTTGCTGAGTTCCTAGAAGAGGCCGCTCTCCCCTTCAAGATGGCGTGGGCTCTGTGCCCCGGTCGGTCCTGCAGTCCAGAGAGTGCCGCAGCGGTGGGAGTCTTTCTGTGTCCCAGAGAGCCTGGTCTGCAAGCCTCTGCTGCTCCTGCTGGATTTAACTGTCCCTCGCTCACTCACACACCATACACATCCACACACTCTCCATTCATCCCCTCACTCACTCACTTCCTATCCTTCACCTCCGTCCTGCCAGCCGCCATCTTCTCAGGCACTCTTAATTAAAACGTTTATATTATTTTTTAATGCTTAATTTTATTGATTTTTGAGAGAGAGAGAGAAGCATCATTTGTTGTTCCACTTATTTATGTATTCATTGGTTAATTCTTGTATGTGCCCCAGCCAGGGATCAAACCCACAACCTGGGTGTATTGGGATGATGCTCTAACCAACTGAGCTATCCAACCAGGGCCCAGGTGTTCCTCTTAAAGGGCCCATGTATGAACTTGGACTCACTCCATCTGAGCTCCAGCACTGGGCAGCAGTTTAAAAGGCACCGGGGACATACAGGAAGGAACTGAATTTTCTGACTTCAGGATGAGAGCAGGAAAACAGTTTTCTTCCAGAGAGAATTGCTGGTAGAGACCATTGATCCTTTTTTGAGCAGCCTCCCCGTTCCCTCCCCCCTCTCCCCCCCCCCCCCCCCCACACACACACAGAGCAGGCACCATATCTGAGTCTCCATTAACCTGGTTAACACTGTTTGCCTGGCTGTGGTGATTCACTGAGACCTGGCCCCACCCAGCTTGTGGGCCCATCCAAGCTACTTCCTTTGGCCTTTCCATACAAATGCTCTTCATTGGCTCATTCTTTGGATTTTCCAAAAATCTCTTAAGCAGTAGCTAGCCTCTGCATACCTCGTATCTCTTGCTAAGTGGTCCCAGGCCTGGCAGTAGAGGGAGCCAGCCTCAGTTTACAGCTTGGCCTCTCCTGGGCACTTCCAAGCCCAATATAAGTAGCAGCCATTTGCAGATTGCTCTGTAGCTTATACCTGGTGGCCCGGAGCCAGGCACAGGCGGTGGTTAGCCTGGACCTCCCAGGAGGCTCCAGAGCCAGTAGTATATCAAGTGAACAGCTTTATATCATACCAGGTTACAACTCAACCATCTCCATAAGCGACACACTCAATGCACAGACATGGCCAGGCACCAAAGTCCCACTGAAGCTAGTCCTGGGATCATTTCTTGCACAGTAGCTTCTCTGCTACAGTCTAAGCCAGTCCTTAAGTCAATCTGCCTATGGATAAATTTATACCAGTGAGGTACCAACAACAATCAGGACTCATCTATAATGAGTGCACACAGCCAACACAGGGTGTGTGTGTGGGTGGGAGGGGTGTGCAAGTGGAGCACCCAGATCAGGTGACATGGGAGGCTATGCACTGGGGCCTAAAGAATATCTACTACATAAGGCATTCTACCAAGACTGGGAGACATAGCAGCTATACCTAATACATAGAAACAAACACATGGAAGCAGCCAAAAATGAGGAGACAAAGAAACAGGTTCCAAATGAAAGAACAGGAGAAATCTCCAGAAAAAAACTAAATGAAATGGCAGCAAGCAAAATACCAGATACAGAGTTCAAAACAATGCTTCTAATGATGCTCAATGATCTCAGTGAGCACTTCAACAGCATAAAAAAGGACATAGAAACCATAAAAAAGAACCAGTCCAAAATGAAGAATACAGTAACTGAAATGAAAAATATATTAGTCCTAGCCAGCTAAACTCAGTGGATAGAGTGTTGGCCTTCAGACTAAAGGGTCCAGGATTCAATTCCAGTCAAGGGCACATACCTCAGTTGCAGATACTCCCCAGCCCGGACCTGGGTCAGGGCAATTGCAGGAAGAAACCAATCGATGTTTTTCTCTCACATCGATATTTCTCTCTGTCTTTCCCTCTCTCTTCCACTCTCTCTAAAAATCAATGGAAAAATATCTTCAGGTGAGGATTAAAAAAAAAACATTACAGAAAATCAACAGTTGTGTAGATGAAGCATAGAATCAAATCAGCAATTTGGAAGATAAGGGAGCAGAAAACATCCAATAAGAAGAACAAAAAGAAAAAAGATCCCCCCAAAATGAGGATAGTGTAAGGAGCCTCTGGGACAATTCAAGCATACCAATATTCGCATCATGGGGATATTGAAAGGAGAAGAGAGAGAGAGCAAGAAATTGAAAACCTATTTCAAAATATAATATCAAAAAAGTCTCCTAACCTGGTAAAAGAGATACATACAAGTCTAGGAATGCAGATAGCCTCAAACAAGTCAAACCCAAAGAGACCCCACCAAGACACATCATAATTAAAATGTCAAAGGTTAAAGATAAAGAGAGAATCTTAAAACTAGCAAGAGAAAAGCCATTAGTTACCTACCAGGGCACTCCCATAAGACTGTCAACTGATTTCTCATCAGAAACTTCACAGGTAAAAAGGGATTGGCAAGAAGTATTCAAAGTGATGAAAAGTAAGGACCTATAACCAAGATTAATCTACCCAGTAAAACTATCATTCAGACTCAAAGGACAGATAACAAGCTTCCCAGGCAAGAAAAAGATAATGTGAATTTATCACTATCAAACCAGTATTACAAGAAATGTTAAAGTTTTTTCTTTTTCCTTTAAAGAATAAGAACAAGAACAAAATGAAGAACAAGAAGGGGAAAAAATAGCAGTGTAGGAAAATGCAGTACTCACATCCTTCCACAACCACATAAAAATTACAACTAAACCAAATAAAAACTATCATTCAGAACCACCTGAAATCTGACAACTAGAGAATTAAAGAAGCAGCCACATTGAGACTAGTAGGAGGGCCAGGTGTGTGGGATAAAATGGTCTGACACCCATGTGTGACTTTTTTTTTTTTTTAAATCAGGAGAAATATCTTGATTATGGAGGCTCCTGTGAGGAGCAAAGGGTCCCACCCCTGCCAGACCCCCAGCCCAGGGTTCCAGTGCTGGGAAGACAAGTTCTCATAAATTCAGCCTGTAAAAACCAGAAGGGATTGTGGCACAGAAGGTTGCTGAAGTCCCAGGCAATTACTCTTAAAGGGCTGGTGCATGGACTTACATGGACTCACTCCCTCTGAGCTCCAGAGCTGGGGCAGCAGCTTGAAAGAATCCAAGGACATACGGGGAGGGACTAAATTTTCTGGCATCAGAGCAAAAATGGGGGACAGCTTTCTCCCAGAAAAAGTGCTGACAGAGGCCATTGTTCCTTTGCTGAGACCTCCCCACCAGAGAGTTGACAAGCAGTCGCCATATCTGAGACTCCATCAACCTGTCCCACACTTTTCACCCTTCCTGGTGACTCCAAGAAACCCCATACCACTCAATCTGCAGCCCTGCCTAAGCTGTTTGCAGTGTCTTTTCCATATGAATGGCCTGTCCTGGGTTAGGCTTCAGATTCTCCTAAAATCTCTTAGAAAAGGAGAAGCTGGCCTCAGGGTGTCCATACTTCTTGTTAACTGGTCCCAGGCCCAGCACTTGCAGCAGCTTGTGATGATTCACAGCTTGGCCTCTCCTGGGAACCTCCAAACCCAACAAAAGTAGCAGCCATCTGCAGATCATTCTGTAGCTTGTGTGGGGTGGCTTCAGGCAGAGCATAGGCAATAGCTGACTTTGCACCTCCAGGGAGGCCCCAGAGCCAGTACATCTGGCAGTCAGCTTCAGACAATACCAGATTACAACCCTACCACATCCACAAGTGACAAACTCAAAGGGAATACTTAGTGAGCATTACAGCCCCATTGAAGCAAGTCCTGCTGCACAGGGGTGTCTCTAGCACAGCAGCTCTTCTTCTGTAATTGCAGCTGGTCTGCACAGCTGATTGGCCTGTCTCTCCAAGTGATGCCAACATCAATCAAGGCTCAATTACCATAGGATAGAGCCCACAGCCCACACAGGGGCATACCTAGAGTTCCCAGCTCAGGTAATGGGAGAGGCTGTGCCACTGGGCCCTACAGGACATCTACTACATAAGGTCACTCTACTAATTCCAGGAGACATAGTAGCTCTATTTAGTAAATAGAAGCAAACACAGGGAAGCAGCCAATATTCAGACAAAGAAACATGTCGCAAATGAAAAACAAACAAACAAAAACAAACAAATAAACAAGCCAACAAACAAAAAAGAAACAAAAGAAATCTCCAGAAAAAGAACTAAAGGAAATGGCAACAAGCAAAATACCAGATACTGAGTTCAAAACAGTGGGTATAAATATGCTCAAGGAACTTAATGAGAATTTTAAGGAACCTAGTGAGAACATCAACAATATAAAAGAGGACTAGTTAGAAATGATCGATACAATAACTGAAATGAAGACTAATTTACAAGGATCAACAGTAGAAGAGAAAACACTGACAAATCAGTGATTTGGACTATAAGGAAGCAAAACAAAACAAAACAAAACAAAATGCCCAATCAGAAGAGCAAAAAGGAAAAAGAACCCAAAAGTATGAAGACAGTGTAAGGAGCCTCTGGTACAACTTTAAGCATACCAACATTCACATAATAGGGGTGCTGCAAGGAAAAGAGAGGGAGCAAGAAATTGAAAACCTATTTGAAAAAATAATGACAGAAAACTCCCCTTACTTGGTAAAACAAATACACAAATAAGTTCAGGAAGTGCAGAGAGTCCCAACAAGATGAACCCAAAGAGACCCACAGCAATACACAGCATAAATAAAATACCAAAGGTTAAAGACAAAGAGGGAATCTTAAAGGCAGCAAGAGAAAAGCAGTTACCTGCAAGGAAGCTCCCATAAGACTGTCAGCTGATTTCTCAACAGAAACTTTGCAGTCCAGAAGGAACTGACCAGAAATATTTAAAGTGATGGAAAGCAAAGACCTAAAACCAAGATTACTCTACTCAGAAAAGCCATCAATTAGAACTGTAAGTCAGAAAAAGAGCTTCACAGACAAAAAAATCACACAAAACAAAACAAAAAAAACTAAAGGAGTTCATCACCACCAAACCAGTATTTTGTGAAATGTTGAAGAGTCTTCTTTAAAAAGAAGAAGAAGAAAAAAAAAAGAATCAAAATGTGAACAATAAAATGGCAAAAATACATATCTATCAACAATTGAATCTAAAAATCAAAATAAATGAATAAGAAGTCTAATTAACACAAGCTAATGAATACAATAAAACAGAAACATGGAAATGTGGAACAGATTGATGAATCTTGAAGTGGTGGGGTGTGGGAAGAGATTAATCAAAGATCTTATATGCATACTAGAGACCTGGTGCACAAATTCGTGCACAGGTGGGGTCCCTTGGCCTGGGCCCCACCCCGGCAGGCCCAGGGGAGGGACTATGAGAGGTTGGCCAGCTGGCCTGCTCTGATCTGGGCTGATCGGGGTCAGCCATCTCAGGGAGGTTGGCTGCCATGGGAGGTTGGCTGTGGGAGCACACTGACCACCAGGAGGCAGCTTCTGTGTTGAGCATCTGCCCCCTGGTGATGAGTGCACATCATAGTACCAGTCGATCGGTTGTTCAGTTGCTTAGGTTTTTATATATATAGACTAGAGGCTTGGTGCATGAAAATTCATGCACTTGGTGGGGTCCCTCAGCTTGGCCTGTGCCCTCTCACAGTCCGGGAGCCCTTGGGGGATGTCTGACAGCAGTCAGACAACCTTAGCGCTACTGTGGGTGTGGGAGAGGCTCCCACCACTGCTGTGCTTGCCAGTCACCAGCCTGCCTTGTAACTGAGCAGCACTCCCCCTAAGGGAGCGCACTAATCACCAGTGGGCAGCTCTGGCCCCACCCCCCCCATCACCCTGCTGATGCCCCAGTGGCCTCCCTCTGTGGAAGGCGACCAGTGGGTTGATTGGGGCCTGGAGACAGCTGGTGATCAGCCAGCCCCACCCCCAATCCCTGTACCCTCCCTCTGCCTGCTGGAACCTGCCTTGGCTGGCCTGGCACCACCCACTCGCTGGCCCCGTTCCCCACCAATCGGTCATTCCACCAACTGGTTGATTTTCAAGCAGTCAATTAGGCTTTTATTATATGGGACGAGAGGCCCAATACATGAAATTCATGCACTCGGGGGCATCCCTCAGCCCAGTGTGTGCCCTTTCACAGTCTGGGGACCCCGTGATTGATTGCCCCAATGAGGTAGGCCCTGCCCACATAACTGGGGCTCCTTGAGAGATCATCCCAAAGAGGTAGGTCCTGCCCACCTAGCTGGGGCTCCTTGATGGATCACCCCCACAGAGGGAGGCCCCGCCCACCTGCCGAAGCCCGCTGGTTGGTAGCCTGGGCTTCCTTCTTTGGGGTGATCATGGAGCCCCCCAGTTGATCGCCCTGCCTGCTGGTGGCCTGGGCCTCCCTCTGCAGGGCGATCATGGGGCGATGACCGGGACCCTGACCAATCACATCGCACCAGCTTTGGCTGGCCTGGCACCAGTGGATGTCATAGCGTGGTCATCTGGAAGGTTGTTTGGTCGATTGGCATATTATTCTTTTATTACTATAGATATGCATTATCTATGGACAGACAATAGAGTGGTGAAGGCCTGAGACAGGGTGTGAACTGGGTGGAGGGAGGCAATGGGGGGAGGGGGAACGGGAGTGTCTTTAATACTCTCAATAACAAGGTGTTAAAAAGAAGAAGAAATCAAATATATGAATAATAAAATGGCAATAAATACATATCTTTCAACAATTACTTTAAATGTAAATGATTAAATGCTGCAATCAAAGACATTCAGTGACTGAATAAAAAATAAAACAAGACCCTTACATATGCTGTCTACAAGGAGACTTACTTCAGATTAAAAGACCACACAGACTGAAAGTGAAATAATGAAAGAAGATATTTCCTGAATATAGAATCAAATAAACAAAAAAGTTGAGGTAGCAAAAAAAAAAAAAAAGGTTGGGTAGAAATTTTTACACCAGGCAGATTGACTTTAAAACAAAGGCTATAACAAAAGATGAATAAGGCCCCGCCAACATGGCTCAGCGGTTGAACATTGACCTATGAACCAGGAGGTCATGGTTCGATTCCTGGTCAGGGCATATTCCCAAGTTGCAGGCTTGATCCCCAATGTGGGGCATGCAGGAGGCAGTCAATCAGTGATTCTCTATCACCATTTCCTTCTCACTCTCTCTCTCTCTCTCCCTCTCTCCCTTCCTTTCTGAAATAAAAAGCAAATTTTTTAGAAAAGGTGAAGAAGGACCCAGCAACTCCACTTTTGGGGTATTTATCTGAATAAACCTAAAACACTAAAAAGAAAAGATATATACATGTATATGTTTATTGCAGAATTATTTATAACTAGAGGCCTAGTGCATGAATTCATGCACGGGTGGGGTCCCTCGGGGTAGCCTGTGGGGATTGAGCTGAATCCTGCAGTCCAGCGTCGTTGCCTGCCACTCCTGCCTGCTGCTCCTGCTCTTCCTGGCCCCGTTGCGCCTGCTGTGGGCTCGCACCACTGCAGCGGCACTCGCCATCTGTGAGCCCAGTGTCTAGCACCTGTCTCGAGGGTGGTGGGGGGAGCCGGGACGTGACTGGCCCTCTATCCAGGTGGTAGGATGCCCTTGCTGGCCTAGGATCCAGACTCGGTCTGCTGGCGTTTCGGTCGATTCTCAGGAGCCACCTGGCAGCCGCTTGTACAACATTTCTTTCTTGTGAAGCATCTAGGGAGGGCAAGCTGCGGAAGTACCTGAAGCCAGTGGCGCTGCTGGGATCATGCTGGTGGCGCTGGTCCATCAATGCCTGGGCCGTTCTCCGGAGACTGAACCTGTGGGGCTACTGAGGGAGTGAGTGGTTGCCACTGGGCTGGTGGGCTTCTGGGATGGGTTGGTCAGCTGAGTGGTGCTTCTACTGTGGGAGCACACTGACCACCAGGGGGCAGCTCCTGCATTGAGCGTCTGCCCCCTGGTGGTCAGTGCGAGTCATAGTGACTGGTCATTTGGTCATTCAGTCACTTAGGCTTTTATATATACTAGTGGCCCTGTGCACAAAATTCATGCATGGGGGAGGGACTGTTCCTCAGCCCAGCCTGCACCCTTTCCAATCTGGGACCCCTCAGGGGTTGTCTGTCCCTGTGGGATCAAGCCTAAACCAGCAGTCGGACATACCTCTTGCTATCCAGGACTGCTGGCTCCTAACCGCTTCCCTGCCTGCCTGCCTGCCTGATTGCCCCTAACCACTCTGCTGTCAGCCTGATCAACCCCAAGTGCCCCGCCTTCCAACCTGATCACCCCTAACTGCCCCCCCACTGGACTGATTGCCCCAAACTGCCCCCCCCACCAGCCTGCTCCCCCATAAATGCCCCCCCCCCCCGCACTGGCCTGATCACTCCTAACCGCCTCTAACTCAGCCCTGCCACCATCACTTTGTACGGAAGGATGTCCAGAAGGTCTCCTGGAAGGCCTCCTGGTCTAATTAGCATATTACCCTTTTATTAGTATAGATAGCTAAGATATGGAAGCAACCTAAGTTTCTATCAATAAATGAAGGGATAAAGAAGAAGTTTCCAGTGCATATATACAATTAAACATTACTCAGCATAAGAAAGAATGACATCTTGCTATCTGAAACAATATAGATGGACCTAAAGGTATTATGCTTAGTGAAATAAGTCAGACAGAGAAAGATAAAGTCAGATGATTTCACTTATATATGGAATCTAAAAAACAAAATAAATAAACAAGCAGAACAAAAACAGTCTCATAGATACAGAGAACATTTTGACAAATGGTTGCCTGATGAGAGAGGGTTTGTGGGAATGGGTGAAAAAGGTGAAGGGATTAAAAAGTACAAATTGAAAGTTACAGAATAATCATGGGGATATAAAGTACAGCATAGGGAATATAGTAAAAAATATTTTAATAACTACATATGGTGTCAGATGGGTACAAGGTTTATTGTGTTGATTACTTTTGAAAGTTATATAAATGTCTAATCATGGGATTGTACACCTTGAACTAATATATTGTGTCAACTGTAATTTAAAAATTAAAAAACTCAAATTACTTCAATGTTATCTTGCCAATGGCCCTAAGTTCTTTGATCTCTTGCAGCCTCATAAGTTTAGAAAATAGTCTTAAAATGAAAAAAAGTTGAAAAATTTTAAAAGATAGTGATTTTAGATTGTAAGTCTCTAGAAGCAAGAGATCATATTTTATATGTTTTTTGTCCTTTCCCAGAAACTTTAGTTGTCCCCAGAAAACTTTATATCACAGTATTTGTAGCATGTTAATTTACTTATTATTTGAAATTTATTAAAAATATTTCTATACTTGGCATCATTTACCTTTATAATTACAATCTTCAAATGAAATCATTAAGGTAACAGGTTAAAAATTAGTCTATGCTAGGATTGGGCTTTATTTACAAGTGACTTTTAGTGTAAAAATGAATTCTATGGTACTAGGGACAAATTCCTTAATCTCCTTTTTCCCTTTGGAAATGACTGACTACTTGGATCTTGAGCTTTGATATTTCCCAACAGTCTTCCATGCCCACATAAGGTCAGACTGAGTTACTTCTACACTAGAATGAGTCATCACTCTTCTGAAATCTTCACTTTACTCTATTATAGCTTAACTATATTACATTGTAACAATTTATTTACACATCTGTGTCTCCCACTAGATTGGGCTATTTGGGTTTAGGCCCTCGTCTTACGCCCTTAGTATCCAGAAGAATGACTGTCAGGTACTATCTCCAAGCCTGTAAAGGCAGGGGGGTTCAATATATGTTAAATAAGAACAGAAAGACACATACAGATATAAACAAAACATAACATCTAAACATCATATGTACTTACAACATAATTAAAGGATGTATCAGCAACCACTGCAAACTGACGGTACAATGTGTGCCTAGTAAACATCTCATTCTTAAGGACATGAAAACTGAAAAAAAAAAAAAAGAAAACAACAGTAAAATTAGAATATATAGATATCATAGGATAAAGCAAATCAGTATGATGTTTATGTAGTTAGGAACTAAAATTTTCAGTGTTAGAGCAAAGAAATAGGAGTAAAAATTTCAAAATATGAGTATGAACATATTTCTTTTTTTATTTTTAAAATTACGTATTTTCCAGCTTTGAGAGACACTGAAGCAATGGCAATACCATTTCAATGAGCCACCCGAGGGCCCAGGCTATGGCTTTAAAACATTTCTCCCTAAACGAATCAGGGCATCTTTCAGAAATGGCTCTTTCTAGAACTAAAGCAATAAATAGACAAGATGAGTCTGGAGCATTTTATTGTTAAGGGAATCATAAAAAATTATCTAAAACACACACCACAAAGTTGTTAATTTTAAAGGGCTACAATTAACTTAAGATTGGAGAAATTAAGCATAAAAATAATGATTATAATGTATTGAAGCAAACTTATATATTAAAACTTTAAGAAATTCTCAGTCTATCTATATTGCAAATAATGCTAAAATTAGGAGATTCACTATCAAGAAATCATGATCTGTATAGGAAGCCAAGTGTATGCTGGACAGCCTTTGGCAAGCTAGTAGGAAGAAAAAATTACAGTATTCAGTCACACAAGGCACTCTTAGAAGAGATTTTGGTATGTGACTCATGGATCAAAACCACTATGAGGTACCACTACAGAGCTATAAGGCTGACTAAAGCCAAAAAGACAGACAACAAATGTTGAAAAGGACAGAGAAATTGGAACCCTCATTTATTGAGGAATTGTAAAATGGTATAGCCACTTTGGAAAACATTTTGGTAGTTCCTCAAAATGGTAAAAAGAATTATCATGTGACCCAGTAATTCCTTCCTATGTGTATACACAAGAGAATTTAAAACATATGCTTACACTAAAACTTGTACACAAATGTTAATAGCATTATTCATAGTAGCCAAAAAGTGGAAATAATTCAAATGTCTAATAAAGAATGCATAAAAATGTGGTATAATCATACGATAAAATATTATTTGGCAGTCAAAAGAAGCAGAGTACTGATGTATTCTACAACATAGATGAACTTGAAAACATGCCAAGTGAAAGAAGCTAGTCACTAAAGGCCATATATTTTATGATTCCACTTATATGAAATGTCCAAAATAGGCAAATCCTTAGCAATAGAAAACAAATTAGTGGTTGTTAGTTGTTGACAGGAAGGGGAATGGGAGGCAACTGCTAATGGGTATGGGGTTCCTTTTCGGGTTGATGAAAATGTTCTGATTTAGAAAGTGGTAATGGTTGCCCAACTCTGAATACACCAAATCCACATTTTAAAAAGGTGATTTTATGGAATGTAAACTATGTATCAATAAAGTTATTATACAGTAAATTACTGTGTGTGCTAAAAATGGAATCCTATGAATAAAGAAGAAAGTAGAGTAACAAACAAGAACTTTAATATCATCATAATAAACATATAAAAGAAAATAGAGGAGAGAATCAAGATGGCGGCATAGGTAAATGCCTGTACTCACTGCCTCCCACAACCACATCAAAATTACAACTAAAACACAGAGCAACTACTATCCAGAACCACCGGAAAGCTGGCTGAATGGAAGGACTACAACTAGAGAGGTAAAGAAGAAAGCACACTGAGACTGGAAGGAGGTGTGGAGGCCCAGAAAGGGCTGGTCCGGCACCCAGGTGTGTATCTTTTCTAATCCAGAGGGAGATCACCTCTGTGGAGCCCACCCCCACCCCCTGGAGGAGCAAAGGGTCCCAGCCCCACACCAGACCTCCAGCTCAGGGCTGGGGAAAGAAGTCCCTATGGCAGTAAGAACTGCAGACTGTAAAAACCAGTGCGGATTGGGGCTGAGTGTCACAAAGGCTGCGGGAGACCAAGCTGCTCCTCTTAAAAGGCCAACACCATGAACTGAATTTACAAGCTCCTGCATCCTCTGAGCTTCAGTGCCGGGCAAGGTTCTGGGGGACCCAGACACATACAGGGAGAAACTGGACTGTTTGGCATCAGGGCAGGAACGCAGGGGTGGCTTTCTTCCAGATGAAGGTGCTCACAGCAGTCATTGTTCCCATGCTGGGACCTGCCCGGTGCAGGGCTGACTGGCAGCCATTTCTGTTTGCTCTGCCCCGGTGATTCCCTAAAACCCCACTCCACCCAATTTACAACCCCACCCAAGCTGTGTGCAATGGCTTTTGCATATGAATGACCTATCCTTTCTCAGGCTAAAAAGCTGTCAAACAAGCTGCAGCAGGGTCAGTGAGCACCAAACCTATCAATAAAAGGCTCAAGAACCAGCACCAGCACCACCCTACCTTGCTTCACAGCTTGGCCTCATCTGGACACTTCCAAACCCAATACAAAGAGGAGGATTATGGAGATCTCTCTGTAGCTCCTGCTGGCTGGCCCCAGGCAGTGGCTGACTTTGCATCTCCTTGGAGACCCAAGAGCCAGTATACCCAGTGGTCAGTGTGAAACCATACCAGATTACAACTCTTCACATCTGTAAGTGACACACTCAAGGGGCAGACTCAGTGAGCACCACTGAAGCAAGTCCTGCTCCATAAGGGTATCTCCTGCACAGAAACTCTCCCACTGTAATCGCAGCTGGTCCCCACAACCAATTGGCTGGAGGTCAGTTTTTCCCAGTGACACCAACAGCAATCAAGGCTCAACAACAAAACTGTGCACACAGCCCACAAAGGGGTGCATCAAAGAGTGTCTGCCTCAGGTAATTGGGGAGGCTGAGCCACTTGGCCCTATAGGACACCTAATACACAAGGCTACTCTATCAACTCAAGGAGACTTAGCAGCTACTCAATATATACAAACAAACATAGGGAAGCAGCCAAAATGTGGAGACAAAGAAACATGTCACAAATGGAAGAAATGGAAGAAAGCAAAGTATTGGATATATTGTTCAAAACCACAGTTATAAGGCTACTCAGAATCTTCTAGAAACCTCTGAAGAACTTAGTGAGACTTTCAAGGATGTTAGTGAGAATGCCAAAAAAAAAAAAAAAAAAAAAAAGAAATGGAAAATGAGCAGTCAGAAATTAAGCATACACTGATTGAAATAAAGAATAATATTCAGAGATTCAACAGTAGACTAGAGGATCATGAGAATCAAATCAATGATTTGAAATATAAGGAAGCAAAAAACACCCAATCAGATCCAAATGCATGAAGATAGTGTAAGGAGCCTCTGGGACAACTTCAAGCATACCAACATTGAAATTGTGGGGTTGCCAGAAGAAGAGAGAGCAAGATATTGAAAACCTATTTGAAGAAATAATGACAGAAAACTTCCCCTACCTGGTGAAAGAAATAGACTTACAAGTCCAGAAGCACAGAGAACCCCAAACAAGAGGAAACCAGAGAGGACCACATCAAGACACATCATAATTAAAATGCCAAGGGCAAAAGACAAAGAGAGAATCTTAAAAGCAGCAAGAGAAAAACAGTTAGTTACCTAGGCAGTGCCCATATGACTGTCAGCTGATTTCTCAACAAAAACTATGCAGGCCAGAAGGGAGTGGCAATAAATATTCAAAGTGATGAATAGCAAGAACCTACAACCAAGATTACTCTACCCAGCAAAGCTATCATTTAGAATTGAAGGTCAGACAAAGAACTTCACAGACAAGCAAAAGCTAAAGGAATTCATCACCACCAAACCAGTATTATATGAAATACTGAAGGGTATTCTTTAAGAGGAGGAGGAAGAAGAAACAGGTAAAGATAAGAAATATGAACAACAGCCCTAGCTGGTTGGACTCAGGGGATAGAGTGTCAGCCTATGGACTGAAGGGTCTGAGGTTCAATTCCAGTCAAGGGCACATGCCCAGGTTGTGGGCTTGATCCCCAGTGGGTGGCGTGCAGGAGGTAGCCAATCAATGATTCTCTCTCATTATTGATGTTTCTATCTCCCTCTCCCTTCCTCTCTGAAATCAATAAAAAATCAATAAAAATGTATTTTAAAAAAGAAATATGAACAACAAAGTGACAACAAATATATATTTATCAATAATTGAATCTAAAAATCAAATGAATGAAAAATCTGATGAACAGAATAAATTGGTGAATGGAATAGAATCAGGGACATGGAAATGGAACAGACTGACGATTCTCAGAGGAAAGGAGGTGTGGAGGGTGGTACGGGAAGAGATTAGACAAAGATCTTATATGCATGTATGCATTACCTGTGGACACAGACAATAGGGTGGCGAGGGCCTGGAGTGTGGTGAGAACTGGGTGGAGGGGAGCTATAGGGGGTGGGGAGGAAGAGGGACATCTGTAATAATCTCAGCAATAAAGATTAATTTTAAAAAAGAAAATAGAGGAAGAGATCAATAAAATAGACAAAAAGATGGGGAATTTCAGTAAAGAAATTGAATTGATTATTTTTTTAAAAGAGTAACCCGCCCTAGCTGGTTTTGCTCAGTGAATAGAGTGTTGGCCTGTGACTGAAGGGTCCTGGGTTCTATTCCAGTGAAGGTCATGTACCTTGGTTGCAGGCTGTATCCCCATCCTTGGTCAGGGTGCATGCTTGAGGCAACCAGTCAATGTGTCTCTTTCACAATAATGTCTTTCTTTCTCTCTGTCTTTTCCTCTTCTTTCCACTCTCTCTAAAAATCAATGGAGAAATATCCTCAGGTGAGGATTAATAAAAGAAAACAAAATAAAAAAGAGAGAGATAAATCACCTTAGAACTGAAAACATCATATATAATATTAAGAATTCCATAGATGGACTAAATAGCAGAATGGATATAGAAAAACACGTGATTATTAATCTCAAAAGCAGATCAATTAGAAAATATACAAAAATGAAGCACAGTGAGGGAAAAAAAAGCAAGTGCATAAGAGACATATGGGTAACAGTGAAAAGGAACAACATACATATAATTAGAATCCAATAAAAAGTGAGAATGAGACAGAAGTAATATATGGGAAGATAA